CATTTTTGTATTCCCACACACGACAGTCGGCACCCAATTTGGCACCCAAATTAAGAAGTGCATTGTGGGTGTTGAAGTATTTAGCATCTAAGTCTTTTGCCAAATTTTTTTTTTAAGTCTGTCTTGCCAGCAGTGAATTACCCCTTTAAGGAGGCAGCACAGGTGAGTGGGGTAGGACTGACACATCTTACCCCACTCCAGGGGCAGATCTAGAAAATTATTTATAGGGTGGCTTGAGGAATGTGAGGGGTGGCAACACCAAAGACAGCAAGCATTCGATCATCCATACTTAATCTGTACTCTATCATCTATTCTACATGTATACTATAATTAAAAACAAATTATAGCCACAAATGGCAATCATCGGGGTCCAAGCACCAATGGCCCCTTGTGAATGATTAGCGATCCAATTGAAATGTATCTTATGATGTGGTTTGATTCAAGTTGGAAAAGTCCATTTTGAATCTTCACTGAAAGTTAGGGTTTAATGAAACAGGCAACAGCAACACACAAGTGTCAAGAAGGGCAACTGAATTTCTTCTTCTACTTCCTCTTACTGTTAGATTAAAAGAGAAAAAAAAAAACTGTATAAAAATGTTTACTGTCGTAAGGCATGTGATCATAACATATGTGGTGTAAGTGTGGACTCATATTCAACATTTCAATTTAGATGAATCGCATGTCATAGGATGTCACTGGACAATTTCAAATGAATGTGAAGATATCATTTGTAGCTCAAAACCTTATTTATGTGAAGCATTTATCTTAAGGACCTTTTCATTTTTATAATATATTTCTATAATACGGGTAGCCTAACTTTATACCACAACAGTAAATAAGTGTGTCTTTATAAAATTTTTACAATACATATTATCTTGAAAAATATTAAGTTTTATTGTGGTCTGTAAAAGTTAAATAAACATTTAATTATCTGTAAGCATTCCACAGATTTCTATATACACTAATTATATAAAACTATACTGACAGTATATCATAGTTATACAAATGAACTAGATAAATGCATTTATTTCCATTCAAATGGATGGAAACTGATAAAAAAATCTTTAGGCTAAAAAGATTCCCTATCCTGTGGCTTCCTCTAGTGGACAACATTAAAATCACAGCCTTTGTCTTTCAGTTGAAATGGCTGATAGTTGTATATAATTATTTTAAATTTCAAGAAAAGTTTGTCTTTCTAGTTAAGATTTGATTCTTACCTAACTCTGCTATTAGTTTCTGTGATTGGAATCTTGTTATTGTTTTAATTGTATAAAGTCGGATGGCAAATATATCTATGATGACTATCAGGACGAGATTTGATTTCTCTAATTTTCTGATTCACGAATAAATGGAAAAACAATTGAACTGGTCTACACTGGTTGTGCTGTGTGTTTTTGATTCACCAAAAAGAACCCGTTCATATGAGAGTCACCTGTTAATAAAGTTTGCTATACAGAGTGTGAGCAACCACACAGCAGATCTTTTTATGTCATCACATTTAAAGCGCAGCTGGTACAGAAAACACTGGTTACATTAATATTTTAAACTGGGATAAATCTGGAGTGGCACTGTGGCAATAGTTTTTCTTAGGGTGGCAGTTGCCACCCCAGTAGATCCGCCCCTGCACCACTCACCCCTACACATGCATTTAGCATGTCAGGCACAGAAACATGACCTGGAGAGAAGATTGACAAGAGACTGCTAATCAACTGCAGATGCGTCCACGCTACGATTTAAGTGCAAACAAGAAACTGAACTCTTAAAGGGTGTACATCAGAGTAAGTTACACACTCTGTCCCATTTACAACCCCCCTCTCGCTCTCTCTCCCTCCCTCCCTAATAATGGGGGCACAAATTGGGTCCACTCTCTCATTGGCATTTACACTGGCACAGCAGTCTGATGAAGGGCTCTTTTTGTGCTTTGATCCTGTTTGGTTTCCATCTAATGATCAGCTGACTCCTCCTCAATGAGCTGCGCTCAAGCCGCATGTTCTCTGTCACCGAATTGTGTTCTGCCCTGAGGGAGTCTAATGTGTAAGCATGCGCTGGTTACCCACAGCAAACAGCGTTCTAGGATCTAGAAATGTCTGTGCCACGCTGGACTGGTGTTTACTGCCTGTTTGATCATATTGGAGCCTGGTTTCTGGGGACCAGGCACTCGTGGTGCAGCCGCAGGGGCCCCACAATGATCAGACATGCCTCCAGTGATGCAGAGAGAGGGAATAGAAGCAGACAGAATTTCACAGTACGTGTAATGTCCATATAGTCAATGAAATAGATTTAGGGGTTAGATTTTATAAGTGTTTAATATAAAAGAGAAGACTGCTGGTAGAGATAATGAATTAGATGTGTATGTTTTACAACTTGTGACTTAACCAATTTATAACGTATGCATGTAAAGTAGCTGTTTTTGTACTACTGCTTGTGTTTATCTATTATAATTTATTTTTCATAATTTTATATAGACTTAATAAGACAAATATTCCTATCTTTTGGTTTTCGTCCATCAAATAAAATCCAAGTAAAATTTTTATTATAAAAAGAAAAATAATTATATAATTTTATGAGCTACCATTTAATTAGTAAAATATTTAATTTACTGCATACTACTATAAATGAACTGCTTTACAAATTAATGGTATGTCATATTATCCTATAATTAATTAAATGTATTGGATTTTACTGTAATTGTACTTCATGTAATTATATTATTGAAGTGTATATATATATTTATATATATATATATATATATTATGGTATTTTATATAATTATACAGTTAAAGAATTCAATTTATTGGATTTTACTGTAAATTAAATACATATTTTATTCACGCATTTTATGAATATATATAGTTCCAGTGAAAACAAGAAAATTGTGAAGTTACTCATACCATGATAAAAGATTCTGGTCATACTCCTCACCCCTAGTGTGTGGCGTCATTATTTACACTGCACTAAGGCCAAGAGCACAGTTTCCAGCGGAAACTTATCACCACTGGCTCTCTGCCTTACATGCAGATTCACAAACAAACACACACCGCCTGCGGTCCACAACAGTACATTTCTCCGGTGCAGGTGTGGGCCCTGACCATCTGCGTCCTCCCTGTAATTAGCACAGCGCTGCGTGGCATCATGTTTATTTGCTCCGAGTGGTGCGTATGCCCATGATGCGAGCGGGTTTGGGCTCTGCCACACTGTGTGCCTGTGCTATCTGCTGGGCACATGAGGAAAAGCAGAGTCACCGTCTCTTCCCTGGCACACTTCTTTAGCTTTGAGCCTGTAGAACAGGATTTACGAGCACCTGTCTCAGGGGTATGTGCACCAAAGCAAACAAACAGCTCCTCTCCTCCCCCACGAGCGCAAATCATCAGGGGGAATGTGGCCACCCAGTACCTGCTATCATTTTAGCACCGTACAGTGTGTGTGTTTGAGATGTTCTGTATACACACCAGATAAAAACTGAAAAATTATGGGCACGGCCATTCTGCCTCTGATGTATGTTCAAAACACTGCATATATCTCAGCGGTTATGAGTCCCTGCTGTCGGTGACTGTGTATACGATAGACAAAGTTTAACAACATGTAACATCCGCAACATATACAATACAAATCATGCTGAGAATAACACTCTCCACAAGGTGCCAAAACACAGTCTTTGTCCTTTATATACACAAATATGTAGGGCCCTAGCACCGATGGTGCGATAACCCTCTTGGAATTGCTCTGTTTGTTATTTATATATATATATTTCTATTTAAAAATTTCCTTTTTTGTTTTTGATTCAGTTTATTTATTTATTTATTGCTTTTTTCCCATTTGATCACACACTTTCACCATATTTTAAAGTGTCTTATAATGTATGGTTTTATTATTGATAGCATTGTGTATATCTCTCTCTCTCTCTCTCTCTCTCTCTCTCTCTCTCTCTCTTCTAGCAGCTTGTTTTGAGAAGTGTGGAAATTACAGTGACTTTTATGGAGGTTTTTTCAGGCCGCAATCTGTTAGCTGCACCATTAACTAAAGATTAACTTATTTTAAAGATAATTTAAACAAATGCAATGTGTCTTTTTTTAGATTGTAATATGTAATATTTTTAAAATCAAGTCATAATGACAATATTCAATCCAATGATGATTCTAATGAAAAGTACTTGGGTACCTGAGTGACCTGTTGCCATGGTTACTTCTTCAGGGGAAGACCATTTATCTTTGTATTTATTGACCTCAAAGATTCTTTTAAACATTTTTTAAAAGAAGTCTCTTATGCTCTGGCTACATATTTTTAATAGAACGGTAATATTGTGAAATATTATTATAATTTATAAGTAGTGTTTTCTTTTGTAATATATTTTCAAATGTAATTTATTCCTGATTGCAAAGCTTAATTTTCAGCATCATTACTCCAGTCTTTAGTGTCACGTGATCTTTCCAATTATAATATATAAATATAAATCATTCTAATTGGCTCGTTTGCTGCTCAAGAAACATTTATTTTTATTATCAATATATGAAAGCAGTTGTGCTGCTTAATATTTTTTGTAAAAAAAACACATAAAAGTCTATCACTTTTGAACAATTTTGCCTGTTTGTTCTGATCTCATTATCCACTTTAACTACAACATGTTTTTCTTTTTTCTTTATTATATAATGGTCATTTTCCCAAGATTCTTACACAGTCCTGACATTGTTCTGAAATCTCAAGTATTGTTCCGCTTTTGAACCACCTTGTTCTTCCCTGCATTGCAAACACTTCATTTATATTTAATAGAACTGAACAACTACAAGTAACTTGTGGTATCTGTGTATTTATTTAACTAAATTCTACTAAATTGACACTCTTAAGATTAACACACCTTTTACAGTAATACGGTGAATCACTTAAAATCTTTCCTGTCACCAAGCACTGCAATGTTCCTGCATAACCGTGCGAATCATGTTTATGTTGTTATTTGCTTCATCTTCCTCTCTCTCTCTCTCTCTCTCTCTCTGTTTTGAATGCAGCAGAGCTGCAGAGGGAGGGAAGCATCGAGACTCTCAGCAATAGTTCTGGCTCCACCAGTGGCAGCATTCCCCGGAACTTCGAGGGCTACCGATCCCCTCTCCCCACCAATGAAAGCCAGCCCCTCAGCCTCTACCCCACCGCATTCCCCTAAAACCAGCCGTCCCGCCCAAGGAAACCTCTCTGTCGCAACCTCTCAAACAATCTTGACAGTACAACCACAACACATCACCCCATGAGAGAAGCCACACTCTCTCTCTCCCTCATTGTGTTTTCATACCATCCTGCTCAGCGATATCTTTTCTCTATTCTTTGAAACGTGAATTTTCCTTTAATCAAACTTGCCATGCAGGAAAACCCTGTTCAATGAGGCCCAGAGTTAGCGTCCTTTGTCATTCACTCCCCTTGTAGATTAATTTCAATGTAGCCTCCATCTCAGACTGAGTGCACGTATATATTAACCTTGATGGGTGGGATGTACCTTAGAAGGGATTGTTGCCACTTTTCTCAAAGACGTGTCATATTACCAATATCATTTTCAAAAGAAACTTCCAGTGCGTATCTTTACTGAGTGTGTGTGATAGAGAGTGTGTGTTCATCCTGATTACCTCTCAGTAGTTGAGTTTAGGTTTGAGCTTATAAAGCGTTATGCTGATTTTTTTTCTCGATCAACACATGCTATCATTAGACAAATAATATGTTTTAGCAGATGTACTGTAGTTAACGTTTGAATTGATTTTAATTGTATAGGTAATTCAAATTGGTTATGTTTACAATTTATTCTTGTGTTACATTCTAGTGTTTGTTATTCCACACATTTCTTTCTGTATATTTGATTCGATTGTTTTGAACGAATGTCCGTTCCTTGGACTTCTTCTTGGCTTTATAAATTCAGTGGATTCAAATGATTCAGATAACTTTCAATTTGTGGGTAAATGTGAAATGTATTGATTCTTTCAAAAGGGAAGTTTGTTTGCTAATGCTTCCGCGTTTGATCGGCTTTATAGGATGTGTGCGAGGCTGATATTTATCGAGGATCCACAGGGAGTTTCATTCAGCTCAGGTGATTTAGACACTACCCACATTTAAAAAAAAAAAAGTAGTTCCATTATTATGATCATTATCATCAATATATCATTTTGTATTCACTTGTTTATTGAACTATTTTAAATTGCTCTGTTTGAAGAATGTCTTTTAAGTTGCTTGACTGGATGTAACATTTTACACACACACAACTATTGATAATTACCAATTAAACTGATATAAGAACTGTGAATAAACGGCCCTAATCATCAGCTTGTCAGACAGCTTAAAGAGCGGCTGTTGGCTGACAGCTCTGTGCATGTTGAAAGTAGCCAGAGAGGAAGAGTGATGGGGTTATTCAGCATAATTCATAACGGCATGACTTTCAATCTGAATGCAGTGCACATGCTTTGAATGGACTACAATATTTTTTGTAATAATTCTTGCGTAATGTTATCTTGAAATAGGAATTTATGCAAGTGAATTGAACAAGTCTTCTATACATTTGTGTGTTTGCTTAAAACAGTATTTGCATTTTGACTTTCACAGTTCTTTTCCCTTGTTAACCTACCTTGCTTTCTCCTGGATATATTTGTTATACAAAAACAATAAATGCATTTAAATGACGAGATACAAATCTGGGCTCGAGGCTACAAATCTCAATCACTGCTTTTGTTTAGGGAACTGTTTTTTATCATCATGAATCAAGTCCACAGGCTTCAGGAGACGGGCTGAGATTTCCTCCGCCGCTGCTTTAATCGCATGCGTGTAAGCTGATATTGATATTATAATTTATAATTATATAAATTTATCAACGTTATAAATGTGCTCTTAAAATATTGAAATATTTGAGATAGGTAATAATATATAATAACAGATGTCATTTTCTTTAATAACACAATTATTTGATCATACAACTTAACCTGCTGCCCAGTGGACAGACAAAACCACTAACAAAGTCATTGTTGTGTCATCACAGTGATCTTTATTGTGCCGAGTCAGACAAGCAGAGATATTTTGCATGCAAGGAAGCAAGAGGTAACTTTTTCCACTATTACTACTGAACTCTTAATCCTCACCAGCATCTTCAGGTGTCTTCTCAACACTCTCACCTTACACACACAATCACCCTTAAACAGAAACACACAGTGACTCGAAGCAGTCGTCTAGATGGTGTGGAGGACGGTGGCAGACCTCACACTCTCCGTCTGAGAAGGTCAGTCCTCGTTTCTTTCTGTCTCCCTCCAGACCGCCAGTGCCACCTTATCACCGGAGCGACAGCCTATAAATACCAACAGAAGATAGCAGGCATTTCAGTGAGGAGCGTCAGAGGTTTCCTCCTCTCTGGGTCGGGGTCAGGAGGCTGCTGTGTAAATTAGTACATTTAGTTAGAAGCATTAATCTATGAACAGTCTGCCGTTTAGTCACTGTGGCACTGATACACAATCTACCAGAGTCACTCTGTCAAGGTGGTTGGCAATTCATGTAAGATTTTGTGGCTGTTTGTTCCAAAACACTCCCCCACACTCCATGTATCCCAATGGGAACGGTCTCCATTCAATAAAAGGCTGTTTTCTGGAACGGCTGCTGGTCTTTCCCCCCTTCGGAGGTCGTTCATCTACTATTATTTGAAAAACTACTATTTGAACTAATGTGACTGCTCCTCCAGAAAACATAAGATGTCTTTAAGGGGATAAAAGTAGAGAAAACCATGAAGTATCTCAACCACCTTAGAATAAAGTATTTTACTGTATACTTTCACTGTTTTCTTGTAGGCATTTTTCTTAACATCAAACTTGTTTTTCATCTTCTATCTTCATGAAGATATCGTTTGGCCTACCACCAGTCTTGTTTTTCCAACTTATCCTTAGAAAAACACAATTTGATTGAAAAAAATATATATGGAAATAAAAGCTCATATTTTGTAATAGCTATTTTGATTATTTTATTCTCATTATGAATGTTTTTAAATTTGAGTGCATGGACCTGTTGAATTAAAAAGACATCAACCTTGTTAATGTTCTAATTTAAAAACATTATTAATAAACACCAATCAAGTGTCTCCTTTTTTTCTTTTCTTTTATTAGTAGGGGAAAATCTTACATGGTCAACCCTGTTACTTCAATTTTGTACAGAATTGAAATATAGAAATCAATTTATAAATCTCAAATACCTTGTTAGTGTTATGACCTTAAAAACACAAGCTTTACATTAAACTGTCAACTCTGTTACTTTTTACTATCCATGTCCCAGCATGTACTAAAATGTTTTTGATCACTCGTTACCATAGAATGTTCTTTAATAAATTAACATTACAAATCCCTTTTTAAAATGAAAAAGGCGGCATTTCGTGGAATAACAAACTCATGACAATCTATTTGCGCGGATTTTGAGTCTAACGAGGGAGCTAAAGTGTTTTCCATAATTTCTTTGCTGTAGCCTATGCTATATAGGCCCATTTACGACTTAGATATGTATATACAAAATAAATACTTAAAACATGTGGATTGGAAGTTGTCTGTTGCCTTCCCGTAAGCCGTAGCGCACTTTTGTAATCGCTTTGTCTTCTAATATGTTATTTGTCAATCAGACGAGACGTGGAGCCTATAAAGCACTCATCTCTTCAACTGTTTGAGAGACAGTAAACTGAATAATGACTGGCAGCTCCTGAGGGATTTAAAAGGGTCAGTGTTGACATTAATGTGTGACACACACACACACTTATTTCAATTAGCTGCTGAATAGCCTCGATTAGATCAACTTATCTTCAGGATCCCCACACCTGGACGCGCATCTCATCAAGTCCTAATCGAAACATGGGCGTCTGAATGCTGTTTACTGCCTTGCGATACAGTAAGAACAATCTTTATTTATCTTCAAGTCATTCTCACTGAATAGCGCCGGATTGATTGTGAAAGGGTGGTTGTTTTATATTACTGATGTCCCCCCATCCCTCATTTACTGTCCTCATTAATACAATGAGAAGTTAACTTTCCTATTCGAAACTTTCATGTGAAATCTGAAGAAAAACATTATTTAGTATTTTAGGGAAAGTGTAAAGTATATTTAACAACATTAAATATAAAGTCGGAAAAACATTAAGTTCATGCAAATAATATTTTGACACTGCTCGAGACATTTCTGATTGGAGGTGATACAATGACTTAAAATGCATAAGACTATAGCCTAATTTAGGCTACAAGTGTCCACTTGAGAGTAAAAAAAAGTTATTTGCTTATTATTGTGACTTGATATGATCACCAATGAGTAAAGTAAAGGTCGGCTGAACCGATTAAAGAACATCGATAATTCCTTAGATGTGCGTGACATTAAAAAGAGTAGGCCTAATAAAGAGCGACCAATCTATAGTAGCCTATTATTAAAATAACAGGATAACTGCACGTGCCACAAAAGGAAAATAGATGAACATTTAACGAATGATACGTCTAATTTTATTTCCCTCGTATTTAAATAATACTAATAAAAAAAACATATGGCCGATTATTAAAAATACTGTATGGAACGATGTGCTCAATGTAAAAACTAAATCAGATTGTTTAATTACTTCTTTTTTTTTCTTTTTTTTTTTTTTTTGGTGCCAAAGTTCAAATCAGTATTTCTTTTCAGTTGAAACATCGAGTAAAAAGACAGAATTTGTTATTAAATGTTAATTGAACGGAATCAAAGATGTCAAACGTGATGAAACGAGTTTAGATCACCCTGGTTAGTGTATCACTACATCAATTTAGGAAGTAATGCAATTTTTATCAACCACAAATAACTCTGTAAGTCAAAATTCACAAAAGGGTAAAACACTTGTTGCATTTAGACGGAACACGAGGCTTGACCGCTGAAGGGGAAATGATGGGTTCAGCATCACACAAGACAAAAGCTCAGGGGACCGAGGAAGTCCAGTGTGTGTGTTTGTACGTAATCATAAAGGAAACAAATATTTCACTGATTTTACTTACTATTACATACAGTATGACATTTAGAGATGTAACATTGCTTTTCACGAAGCCTGACATGCTTCATGGCTAATGTAATTAATAAGTATAGCCCCAATATATGGCTGTATCGAATTAAAGCGTATTGCTTTTACTACAGAAGCATAATACAGCAGAGTCTGTTATTATTTTCAGGGTCTCTGGATGTATAGGCTATTAATGTTTGCGAAATTGCGAGACAATAAAAAATGTCATAAGCTACACGATTTAGTATAAAATAAACCAAACCGAGCCAGGCGTTCAGTGTTAAATTTATGCTTGGGAAAAAGTTGTTAAATGAAGAGAAAATACCATAGTTTCCAAACTAGACCACATTTGAATGCTTGTTTTAGTCTCGGATGATGACACACACGGCACAGTGCAGAAGCAGGTACACTGATTCCCTGAGGTCATTAGAGCGCCCCCACCTGTTACCTGAAATAGGTGTCACTTCAAATAATCTACAGTCGAGATATGCCCAAATAGATTTAAGCGTCAATTAGAAGCAGATTTAGTCATTTCAAGCATGTTCGCAATTATCAAAATTGTATGAGGAAT